CACACACACACACACACACACACACACACAAACACACGCATACTAACACATACACATACTCACACACACACGCACACACACAGGTACACAGACACACACTCACACTCAACAATACCCCTACAGACAAGCGCACGTGTAACTTGGAATTAAGCCATTAATTAATGAAGATAACCTGAGACACATAGCCATGATTGTGAAGAGGAAGTAAAGTAAAAGTGACAAAACATAGTCAATAGTATCTAAACATAATGAATGAACTGCTTCACAACGCACTGCCATACTTATCATATTTCTCCAGCACAGAGACTCAAACAGTATAATGAGACACACAAATGTGCATTTCTAGTGTGTTCAATAGTAAGGGTATGTCTGAGCTCATATTTAATCGTGAACATATTAATGATCATAATAACTGTATATAATATGCATCTGGACACAAATTTAAGCATGTGATCTCACTTGCTTATCGTGTGGTTTGACTCTCTTTCATTCTCCGTGTCATAAGATGTCAGGTGCAACATACTTTTTCAGAAAATGGAACCTTTTGAATGACGGACGTGTGTCCTCCTAAAGCATGATGATACTGTAGTTATTATTATTATTATTATTATTATTATTATTATTATTATTATTATTATTATTATTAATATGAGATCATGTGACAAGGTGACGTCAACACTTTCTGTGCACGTTTTCTCTCTTGCTGGCTCTCCAAGAGACCAGGTTCATGTTTCTCTCTCTCCATTTGTTCTTCGTGCACACCGGAAAACTCACACTTTGAGCTCCATTTTTCGGGCTTGGTCCTTATGAGCCAAGCCATGAGCCTGAGATTGCTGTGAACGCTGTTTTGAGTTCTGGAGATTTCATTTGAGAGTCAAGAAACACATAGCACACGTATTGGTAAAGGTATCTTAAGCGTTTGCTGTGACAGAGATGCTGCAAATATGATTTTAAATCTGAGAGGACACGTTTTCTCCAGATCAATACGAACTTTTTCTAACGTTCTGGAGGGAATTTATATTAGAAAAGGAGATACATTTAGGGCCCCAAAGAACTAAAGGGTCATAAATATTATATTATTGAAGTCTTCCATATGCATACAGGCATAATGGTTCATTTTCTTTTCTCTTGTCCAATTCTAGAGATGATGGTTAACGTTTTCTTCCCCTCTAACAATCGTCCACTGCAGGGGCAATGTTTTCAAAACACAAAGCTCACGATCAGGCAGCAAAACGAAAGTATCATTTATGAAAAAAAAGAAAAACAGAAAGAAAGAAAAACAAACAAACAAATAATCCCATAATATGGACATCTCTGATTTGCAGCTCAAGAGGCAAGTGCCCTCAAAAAGTTCCTCTAAAACAATCACAGTTGCAGCATGGGCGTAGTAAGTGTAGGAACAGCCGCTCTGGTCATTACACCAAATGAAACTCTGGGGGGGTAAAATGATTCATAATATTTTAACGCCGTCAAGTGACTTTCAAGAAGCTAGACTCCAACAAAATAAAAGCATAAGCTAAGGTCTTTGACGATTAATCGCTTGTTCGGTCGGAGGAAGGGGAAGCAGGAAAAAACAGAGATATTGGGTTGAATTTTCTTGATATTACCACATTTAAAAGGAACTACATTTTTTTATAGCATATCCCATACATCATAATTTCCATTCTCATTTCACCAGTAACTTTCATGAACAAACTGTTTCTCTGTCCAACACTCGAGCCATCAAAGAAGACCCTAGAGAGGGTTTCTTTCATTTGTGTAAATTCCAGAGTGCTGATCATATGGAATCATTTTGTTTTGCTGATTGTGCAAAAGTATGAAAGGTGCTTTTTTATATATGTAACGTGCCAATCAACAATTATGATCTGAGGGTCGAGTCTTTAAATTATTATTTGAACAACATAACCACACAAACAAACCCCTAGAAACAGTTCCCATGCTAAAGATGCAGATAAATATTCCTTCACGCTCACGTGATTAAAAAACATGCACCCTTACCGACAATCTATTCCAGTTCTTTTCATTGTACAAAATAACTTTGAGAAAACACCTTTCAAGCATTTGCACAATGCATAAGTTAAAACGAAGAGTATGTGTGAATACTACCAAGCTGGGAGGTCAGCAAAAACAGTCTGAGCTAGAAAAAGCAACAATGGCAGGTCAGTGGGGAAATGATGAGTCTTTTTCAGCCCCCCAAAAAATGATTCTTCGAAACGTGTGAAATTCCAGAAGTATTCAGCGTGACTTAACGTTATAAAAACTAAATATTATGTATGGTTTAAATCAGTTTTCATATGCAATGGTACAACGATGATTACAACATTTCAAACTTTAAAATATTATTTCTTTCAAAAAGTCCCCAAAAGTTTGTCTTTTTCACTCATCATTTCCAAGTGAGCTGCATTGTTGTTCTGAATAAAATAATAAATGCTCTGACCGTAGGGCAAACAAACATGGAAAGGTCAAACCACCAAGAATGAACTTACAGTCTTAAATAATGTTTTCTCTCTGCTCCTTTCTGACCCTGTGTACCCGTAATGTTAGCTTGCAGGCGGTCTCTATTTTGCTGGGAAAACACACCAGGCTCTGTCAGTCATCAAAGTGATTTCTAATACAGTCGAAACTGTCCAACACGGCCATCCGTTGTCAAGGGGGGAAAGTGGGTTGTCTTGGACAGGTGAAAGTCTGGGACAGTTTCATTATAATTCACACAAAAAAGGGGGAAATGAGAAGTTGTGACTCATACATGTGATTGTCTTTGACAGATGGCCGTTAGAGCAGGTTCGACTGTATTTTTTTTTAAAAAGACCCCACTGACTAGTGGAAAAAATAAATTAATGTTGAAAATAATTAACTGCCCCTTGCAGCACCCGTGTGGCCTGCTAACCCTATAATGATCAACCACTTGGAAGACATTCCTCTTTTATACTTGCATGTACATTGTACAAATAAAAATGTAATATTTCTTTCCAACCTGAAGTACATTCTATTGCACACTGATACAACATACTTTGAATGTATTTCCAGCATGTAGAGAAAAGAATATTTACTTCCACGGTTCTGTTGTTGTTGTAATACCTTTTGAAAAGGAAAATACTCATAACAGACAAATACTTTAGTGTGTGCAACTAGGTCATAGACCGACACTCATTCAATCTTTGGCCAAATTCTACTCTTTATTTTTTTTCCCTTCTCAATCACAGATAGGCCTTAAAACAACTTAAAACAACAGGCCTAATAAGACAAAATAAAACAAAACAAACATATAAACAAACAACATACCTCTTCTCTGGTGTGGACATGATCTCTGGACATTTTAGTGAATCTCTCTAATGACTGATTGAGCTTTTTCTCTTCCGCTATCCGTTTCTTGTTGACAGCTGAATAAGATGATAATAAAACAGGATTTACAGTTCAAGAACCACAAAGCAGTTAAATGATCCACCAAACATCTTTTAATAAACATTTTCGAAAATGATTCGACGGCGTGGACACTTATTTCAACATTGACAATGGGTCTAAAAAGGAATAAGTTGAGCCCCCCCCCCCCTTTTCCCTCAAACAAAGAAAACCACCAAAAGAAACAAAACAACCAACAGCAAACAAAGAAAAAATCCCGTCTCCTTTATTTGAAATTTGTGTCAATGGTCCATCATTTTGGAAACAATACGCTGCATCCTTTATATCAAATATTGTATCATATTCCTGTAATCTGAAAGACAAGACTTATTTTGAGTGATCAAAGCTTTAACTCTGTATTAAGTCCCTTTTTATAAATCTCATCTGTCAACAAAACAAACTAATTCTGAATCATGTACGTGTTACTTTACATTTGCAATTCTTCTACTTTTAACCACCAATAGCTCTTAGCCACCCCCTCCCATTTCTTCTTTTTAAAGACCGGCTTGCACTTCTACATATTAATCAAATTGACAAACCGAATAAATGGCTGAATTTCCTTAAATGTACTAAGCACTATCAAGCAGTGAAAAGTGTAATAAAACCCAAAACACACAAAAACCGCTTAACCTCCAGCGTCAAGTTTTCATCATAAATCTAACATTGCGACTAAACCATCATCCTCTAAGTGTCACGCTTTTCTGCGCTTCTTTGCATCAAAATGGCTCTTTCATTTTATTTCTGTTCTTTAAAAATTTTATAAGGTGAATTTTCTTCGTTCAGCCAAACGTTTTAAAGTCTGTTTTATGACGAGACGTCGGTCCCAGATTAGCCACACTAAAAGAGCCGAAAGAGTCAAAATTTAGAAACCATAAAGAACAATAAAAGCCAAAGAGGTTCACTAAATTTACCCCCCCTCCCCCAACCAAGCCCCTACCCCCCCCCCCCCGCCCCGACCTCCGATATCTTTCAAATATAAAGCTAGCTCCTCAACCACTGCACTCGGCCGACCCCGCTACTCTAGGAATACTTTTTTTTTTTAAATTCAACCAAAACGGACACATCTCTGAACCCAAGTTGCACTCCGCGACTCCCAACATGGTGAGCGAGCAGTGACCCCCAGGTTCACCAAGGACAAAATTATGAATGTTGCAACAACAACTATTGCACAGCAATGGATCTTTTTTCTCGTCCCCGTCCAGCCATTAAGTGTCACCCTCCTGCAGTTTGTCCGCAAAAAGAAAGAAAGAAAGAAAGAAAGAAAGAAAGAAAGAAAGAACAAAAGAAAAAAAAATCACGTACAAAAAGACCAGGCCAGTCCTTCCGAGTAACTCCGCTGAGAGAGTCCTCCGCACAGACCCCGTGGACGTGTGTTTCGGAGCGGTCAAAAGATAACCATAAGGCTGAGGCCTCCGCGGTTTTAAAGCTTGCATAAAAACACCTTTGTCCTCGGCCGCCGCCCGTTTTACGATGAGCAACCATGACCAAGTAGGAAGACCCCCACCAATAAGGCATCGGTTGTTTTTGGGGGTTTTTTTTCGTACATGTGCTAGATAGAGAATAAGATGGAGATTTGTGTATTGGGGGACTGGCAACTGTTGAAGTCTCCTGATAGCAAAGTTCATGCAGAGGGGGGGGGGGAGTTTCCTTTCCTGTCCTCATCTATTTTCACTGCGTTTACCAAACAAACAAAAAAACAACAACCCAGAACAGAACAAAAAAAACAACCCCAAAAATCAACAAAATGGTAGGACGTTCCTGATTCAGGTATGGATATGCTAAAAAAAAAGGTAAACATGAAATAGAAGCGGCGGACACACATATACACATACAGAGAGAGAGAGAGAGAGAGAGAGAGAGAGAGAGAGAGAGAGAGAGAGAGAGAGAGAGAGAGAGAGAGAGAGAGACAGAGAGAGAGAGAGAGAGAGAGAGAGAGAGGGGGGGAGAGAGAGAGAGAGAGAGAGACAGAGAGAGAGAGAGAGAGAGAGAGAGAGAGAGAGAGAGAGAGAGAGGGGTGGGGATAGAGAGAGAAAGAGAACGATATACAGGAACATCAAGACATTAAAACAGAGGATGTAGAGAGAGAGACGTGTTGTTGTATAAAGGTCTCTAAAGTACAGAGCTTGACGTGTTAGGCTGATGTGTGAGAATTTTCTGCAACGAATTTACACAATAATCTAGATGTTCAAACAGCTTAGGGAGCCTGCAAGATTACTCCGAACCGCTATACATAAAAGATGCTGTGCAACTGTTCTCACGTCAATCGAGTTTGGAAACAATATCATTCTGATTTTCTTTTTCCAGGATCGGACTAAAACAGGGTAATGATAATAGCCTTCTTATTTTAAAGTTTAACGGTCCTCGAAAGAGCAAAGGGGAATCAAGGGGGGAGGAATAGGGAAAACGATTTCTTTAACAGAATATTGACAGAACTACTGCTAAGTAATAGGAGACTAATTTTTCTGACACCAAAAAGTTTACAGGACATTGTAATGTAAAAAGATCTGATTCGGCTTTATCCATTTCAAAAGAATAATAGTAAGGCATGCATATCAGAGTAGGAAATCTATTTCATGAATCAAAAGAGATGAAGCAATAGAAACTTCCCCGAAACGGTTGTATTTATATAACTAAATTTATAAGACTCGTATGTCGCTTTAGGAGCTCTTCTTTATTTTTTTTTTATTGTTTGGCACTCTCCACGGATACAGTTTTGTGATCCTCGCAAAGTCACGACTACAATGGGTTGGACCAAACAAGGGAAAAGCGGCGGCAAGCCAAACAAATATAATCAAGAGTCGCCATCTAGATTCAGAGGTCATGTCACAATATTCTAGCTTCAACTCATTATGTACGGTACTTCCATAAACCTGTCTCCATGCTAATTTATAATATTAAGAGCATTAAATTCAAAATTTTTGAAGAGTAAAACAATATTATATAATAACAACAACAATAAATAATAACAAAAACAAAAGCAAAGCGACAAGAAACAAATTTTCAAGAGAAAAGTTTATCCATTTCATCATGAAAGCACAGAACTTCTGCTTTGGAAGTGACTAACGGGAGGTAACACGGTTATTGTCACAGTCAACTACAAGTCAGACATTACCTCCTCTTTACGGAGCAAGAAGGGGCACGACATCGCATTTAAAAGTGGTTCGAGCACAAACCCTTACCCACGGAAGGAAGAAAATAACACGAAAGTTTGACCTATCTTTACATGACACACAAGGATATTTCGGAAATTTCAATATGACAGTAGAATATGCCAGAAGCAAAATTTTAGGCAAAAGTCTAAATTTTAAACTATCATAACGATGCAACAAGATTTGAAGAGAGAGTCTTTAAGTTTTTGTGGTGAAGTAGTTGAAAAACAATTTCTTCCCCTTTGAGTTTTGGCTTTAGTTTGATTCTATTTTTTTAAAAATAATAATAAAAATAAAAATAAAAAAACAAGTGAACAAACAAACAAAACCTAAGTTGACGACGTAAGAGTATCTCTTGACTAACTAATCTTTGTTGAAAGGACTGTAAGATAAATATATCAAAGAAAAAAAGACGAGTTTGGTATGCTTTGCCTATTCATAAGCAGCCTCTAACACAAAACACATCTTGGCAAGAGGTCATCACTGCCAAAGGAAAAGAGGGTGGCTCAGAAAAATGTGGGAAATGGAGCCAGCTACAGGGGAAATATATTTTTTTTAAACACACATAAAATATGAATAAATTCAACTAAATCAATGTTCCATCAATGAAAAAGAGCCGTGGTACGGAGAGAGTAGAATTCCTTGCTATTGAAATGATCTAGTTAACACCTACGGGAAGTGAAAGTCAAGAGTGAGGCCGGCCCCGTAGGTAATTGAGACAGAAATGTCTACTTTTCAACTACAACTGACTGGGACAACAGTAAGACTTAAAAGAAGAGAAAAGAGCACACAACACTCCCTATCCACACACAGGTGACAGCATAAGAGAGGTTCACATCAAGTAAACATCTAAAGAACAGCATAGTTGAGAAACCTCAACCCAAGATCCCATCACTTATGTGAGCTTCTCTTGTCTTACTTAGATCCTGCCATTTTTTATGAAAACTGAATTTCTTTCAAAAGAACATTTTCCCCAAGATTTCGATATTTAAAGTGGAAAAATCAGCAGAAATAAATTTTTCCTAAAACTTAATCTTTTCTATTCAGCTTAAACATGCACACCATATTGGAACACCATGCTAGATGTCTATTTGATTGCCTGTGGTTTTACAGCCTTTTGTATCAATATGTGAGAGTATATTCTTGTGAGTTGGTAACATCCAAAGATCATTGTTATGAGAACCTTAATATTTTGGCAGATAACTTACTGCATCCCGTTTTTGATGAAATTTGCAATTTCTCTAACAGTGCTGGAATCGAGTGTCTGAGTTCGCCTACCAAATCTATTATCATTATCATATCATTAATATTCTCCTAACCAACATATTATAGGCCATTGTTTGAATGTCCCCTCACTTTTGTGATGAGAAAGAGGAGTCAACTAGGAGGGCTGGAAGAAACAGGACATAAACTTGTTCCTTGACCATATGATGTATACCATATACTAAAAACATCCAACTTACATGCTGTGAACACTGACAGCAAAAAAAGTTTTTTAGAGTCATTAATGAGAGTGACACCCTCTAAAATAATGCAATGAAACTGTTTCTGTATAAATTCCTGAGTTATTTCAGCATCTACCGTACATTAGCAATCATTGATGTTGAACAAATTTTGCACCAGGGAGTCGTAAAGCTTGTGGAAAAATCTCCAGTAGAGAGTTGGGAAAATAGCCCCACCAGGGGATGGACTTCAGATGTCTCAAGGCTGAAGAGAAACCACTATATTTGCCAATCCTATCGATGGCTCTTTACTCACTGCACGTCTTACAAGGGTCACCACTGTTGATTTCAGAGTAAAGAGCAGGTTTTCAGATCAAACGTGGGGGTTTTTTTCTGCTATTATCTGTAACGACTGACATTCCTTTCTCATAGCATTTTGCTTTTTCCTTATTTATGAGCAGTGGGATCGTAGAAGGAGATTATGGCATAAGCCTTCTCTCGAAAAAATATTGGTGAAACAAACAAGCATTCCTTGTTACAGTCCCCAAAAAAGTAACTCACCTTTTTTTGCTCAGTGTAAAATTTTTCATACAGAAGGAGCTCCCTAAACTAAAGGTAAGGTGATACGTTTTTACCCACACAAATGTCTGTTATACTAGTCTCTGATAGTAGCAAATTCAAAAACTGATTTGGGAAGAATTTGTCTTCATGCACACAGCTATACAAAGAGCTGTTAATACAAGATTATGCAAGTAGAAATGTTCTTCATTCAAATTCCTTTTCACTGTCTCTGTGCAAACCACAAAGTGTTTTTTATATGTTATTCATGTTGCTCACAAGAAGTACTATAAGAGACTTACCATTTCCATAATCTCGAAGAGTGTGCCGGACAGCACGCTGATTCTTTATGATGTCTCCTTCTGTTCTCTTCAGTTCTCTTTCCTCCTGCTTGTGTTGCCACATGTGGTCCTGAAATACAGAAGAAACTTTAATTTTCCTTTAGTACTCTGGGAAGCAAGTCTCATTTTTTGTCTACTCAAAATCTTTTTGTGAGAAAAGAATTTTGTTTGCATTACTAAAAAGATGTTTAAAAAAAGTACTGATCTATTGTTATTTTTTTGTCGAGGCCTATTGTTGTACATGTTGGAAGGGAGTTGAAATTCATTTAAGCTTCTAGACTACACCTAGCTCCTGTCTCAGTGCATAGATATGACAATTGACTCAGAAAATGTGTTACAAAAGAAGTGGAAGAAATTATTGATATATTCTAAGGGCACTTTGATACGATCATCATAGTCTCACAACTCACTAAAGGTGCAGAGCAGGGGCAACTATGCCATAAAGAAATAGGCCTAGATCACTGTACAAGAGTTTACGGCCCAATCATAATAAATTTTTATAGACGGTCAAAAGGAAGAGATTCAACCTTTTAACTTCTGCATCAAGCCAAACACAGCATGCGCTAGTATAAAACTCCTCAAAAGTTTTTTTCCCAGAGTGTCATAACAATTACAATGACAGTCAATATAAAAGTATAATCAAAATAATGCAAAACAACAAAGGCAATCAGCTACCAACCTCAATAACTTTGATCCTTTTGTCATAGTCTTTCTCATCGCGCTTTATTTTAGCTGTAAGCTGCACCACATTTTCTGGAGTGGTGTCACTCTTTGCTCTTGGTCGTACAGATTTCGGTTTTGTTGTGTCTTTCTCTTTTTTCACGGAATGTGTGTAGCTGAATCTATTAGAATCCAAGAAGCCATCAGGGCCCACTTTACGTTCTTGTGATCTTCAGAAAATCAACAAAAAAAAGAACGCAAGGTTAGTGTCACACATACCGCAGACTTAAAAACAGAAAAGATACTGCAATACATATATTAAAGTTGTATGAAGAGTGTCAAAGAGCTAGTAAAGATTCAGACAAATACATCCCAGCAGCATTGCTAAAATTATTTTTGAAAGTATTTTGATTTCAACTTCTATTTTATAACTGAGAATAATAAGTGATGAAGGATACAAGTAAAGCAACTACACTTGCCTGTGGGTGTTTCCTTCTCAACATAATTTTCCAAAACAGGTCAATTTGTGCATGGTAAGATGAATACCGTATGCTCTTTGATGGCCAGGAGGAAAACCTGCCAACCCATAAAACTCTCAATTTATTTTGTTCTTTTTCCAATAAATCTGCTCATTAACTATTGATAAGATAAAATAAAATGAGACGAGATAAGATGAGATGAGATAATATAAGATGAGATAAGATAGGATAAGAAAGAAAAAAATAAGGTAAGATATGAGGAGATGAGATGAGATGAGATAAGGTCAACTTTATTGATCCACGAGGGAATTTTGGGATGGATATACCAAAGTATCAACATAATATTTACTGCTCAGAATAAGACTCCATAGCACATGGCGGAACCTTACACCAAGCAGTCGATACAAGTTCAGCATTGACACAGAATGCCTTCATTACATTCGTGCAGAATGATACACACAGCACATAGAGTTGTCTGTGAGCAAGAACTCTCTCATCCTCTATCTCTCATTCTCTTTCTCTCTCTATCAGACACACATACACATTCACACACACACACACATGCACAGTTGTCTCTCCATCTCTTCCATACACAAAAGCAGGTACACACAAGTACACATATATATTCAGCAACCTAGAACTCACTTGAGGAATGCTGCATATTCCTTGCTCTGTTCAGCAGACTCCTCTTCACTAGGTGGTGGTTTCGCATTGGAAGGGGCGCTGTCTGGACGTCGGATCATGTCATATCGGTTGTGCAAAAGTTTGCATCGGTCAAAAGGGAGGTCTGTCAGCACCATCTTGAAACCTGGACCTAATGTCTAAAAGAAACGATTTTTTTACAAATTCAATTTTTGCTAAGCAGAAAAAAACGAAAGAATATTTATACACAATTAAAAGATGAAAGGACTCAAACTCTATATTCCAACTACCACATAAAGTTCTTAACTTTTATAATCAATGACGCACAAATAAATATAATGATTTTCTAAAGGCTCTAGAATGAATTTTATGGATTTTACTGAACAGCCAGAATTAAATGTGTGCTATCATTTAATAATAATAATAATAATTGCATTTATATAGCGCATATCCATGCTCAAGAGCATGCTCTATGCGCTTTACAACTATTATTACCCCAGCAGACCCTCTGAGAACACTCAGAAACATTCTCAGCTTCCACGGAAGCATACAGTGCAAGCTGCGGATTTCACGCGCTCAAACACTATCAAACTGACAAGATCTTTCACTGTCTATAGCCGGGTACCCATTTCCACCTGGGTGAAGTGAGGAAAGTTTGTGCAAAGTACCTTTCCGAAGGACACAACGTCGGGCCCCTGACGGGATTCGAACCCACGACCTTAATAACGGTTGCAAGTCCGAGAGCTTAATCACTAGGCCACCGACGCCACATTTAGAATTAGTGTAAGTTTTTGTATCACTGTTATTTTGGATGTGTATCTGTACATCATTTATCATGCTGAGGAATTAACCTTCGCAACATATCGGGGAAGTGAACAACGTGAGACTTGAGCGCAGAAAAAGCAGGTCATGTCTTGAAGAGGAATTTAATTACTAGGCCTATCTTGAATTGGAAAGGGACTCGGTTTCTAGGTCCAAGACCGTCTGTGATAACAAGCACTACTATTCGAAAAATATGCTTTCAAGCGTCAAAGTCTCATTATAAAGAAAGGAAGAATTGTGACTATCTTTAATTTGATCAATATTATTAATATCGATTTGGAAGACAGGACAGGAAAAAAGTGTATTTGATAAGGGAAGGCCAAAACGGCACACTCCTGTGTCATTCTGGCGGATAGCAGTAAACTCATATAACTCATTCCAAACCACCATAATGCAAGTCAAACACTGAGACTGACAGGCAGTCACTGCACAGTAATACAAGATTTAAAACTCACGACTTGATTGAGCCTATATATTTTTCGTGAGTTTACCCCTCATCCAGAAATCACTTTTAACAGTATTGAATTGAAGGATCCTGAATTGAATTTTGTCTTCGCAGACCTCAAGTTCAATTTCTGATAAACAGTCTTAACCCTCGTCCTGCGGGAGCCGGGTTTATGTCGCCAGATAAGCCTATTTCGGCACCTCGCCTACATTCTGGTCCCGAATCAGTGTAGCCCCTGGCTCAGCGCACGTATCATTCGGGTCCCGAGTCGGATCCCCATTCACGCAGGTCAAGTGTGTGTGCGTCATTCTGCTTGAGTTTGTGTGCGTTTGTGGCCTTCTTCTAGAACCGCCTGCATTGGTTCGTAATCGAGGCATACGTCTCATTCAAAACATGCCAAGTTGGTAGCTCTAGATGTTTGTCCAATGAAATTATAGAAGAAACTACTCATAATGTCTTATCAGCTTGTAAGAGGGGGTTATTCATCTGTTTGTAACACTTTATAAATAGAAGGTATGAAAGATAGAGCGTTATTTTCATCATCGATTAACACACTCGCTCGGTATTCACGGCGAAAACACACGTTTCCTGGCGCGAGCGCTGTACACCAACAGTACACACTGACTGACCCTGGTGGCCTGCCCGGCACGTCCGAACTAATCAGTTGCTGATAATTAAGATTCGCATCTCGGCACAGACGCAGGACAAGAGTTAAAGGTAGGCTACACTGTTACTAAAGAACAGACTTGAAACTATTGAAATGACTGAGGTAGTCATTCATAGTGTCCAATAAAACTAGCATGGCAATGGCACACTAGCTCTGAGCCTAGGTAAGGCTCACACTACGCGTAGGCTACACTAGATCTAGATCTAGATATCTAGACTGCAGGCCTGTGAGCGGAGGCGACACGGTAAAAATACGTGTTTTGTCTCCCAAAATTGCAAAACAATGACCAAATGATAAAAAATATAAACACCTTTATAAAAAGTGCTCCTTTCCATATATTTGTTACACTAAACAAAGAAAGCTTGAACTCTTATTGACTTACTCTGTATTGCTACTTTTCCCAACAACGAAAACAGCTTACGGAAAGCTTCTATCCACCATTTTGTTGTCAGGGGAGATATAAGCCCCATAAGCTGAGGACAATAGAATTCGCTTACAGCACGGAAAAGAAAACAAAGAAAATATTATTGCAGTAGCTTCCCTTGGTTTCAACAGCTGCATTTTGCCATTTTCTCTCTGTAACTGTAATAACTGGAGGTGTCTCCTCGAGCTCGGGGTAGCATAATAATTATTGTAATAATAAACAATATTTTGCTACTCAAGAAAAGTAAAAGAAACGTTTCAATTGTGTAGGTAAATTATAGCTAGAATCTAGCTTTAAAATCAATACGAATGATACAAGAGTAACAACTGTGTAATTTATTTCATAAAACATTTTTGGGGGGTTTTACGTTATTTCTAGAATAAAAGAAAAGAGGATGGTTATCATTAATTATTTATGCCTGGAAAGCTTACTGGGTTTTAGGATAATTTGCAAGCATCGAGAACAAATAAGAACAAAAATATATCCTATCAGGTATTACTCCAGGGTTTAAAAAAATCCAACAACTTTCACATTTAATGTGGGCTACATCTAGATATATATGCTGTTAAACTCTCAAATACAGTTAACAAACCGATGAATCACTCACAGTGCTAGTGGGCTGTGCATCGGAACACTAGCCTATCTTGTGATGCTTCAGAACCTTCTTCGACGAGATCTATCCTTGAATACAATTGAATCTATACACAATAAGGATGCCTCAAAGATGTTTTATCACATGATATAAGATCACATATACACAATCAAAGACATAATGTAGGAGAGGCACATTCTCAGAATTGTTATTGACAGGACAGAGAAAATTATTCTCTCTTTATTGTTTTTTTTTTAAACCACAAGCAAAAATAACACACTGCCCCCCCCC